TGCGAATTTTTCGGAATGGAGACCGTCGGTTGGCTGAAAAGTCCGCCATGACAGTTTTCGCAACTTTTCTTCCACCTCGCACGCACTGCTCGGATCGACAGAACCCCTTCTCTTAGGGAGGTATATGGTATGCGGACGACGGACCAATCAGCGGCCAGCTCGTCAGGATAGAGAGAAAGTAGACAGAGGCTTTCTCGGGGTTGCGGCGTGCATGGAGGTATAAGGAATGTGAAGGGAAAAGCGGCCTAGTATCTCTACGTTTAGCTGCTCCGTCCTCAGTCTTGGGGTTACGAGTTTTCTCTCTCTGTACACACATATGGGCGCACATTGTGTGTGAGTGTGTGTGTGTTTGTGTGTGTGGTGTGTGTGTGTGTGTGTGTGTGTGTGTGTGTGTGTGTGTGTGTGTGTGTTTGTGTGTGTGGTGTGTATTTGTGTGTCTGTTTGCGTGTGTGTTTATACATGCTTGTTTGATTATATTTATGTTTTTGTGCGTCCTTTCCATTGAGGTTGACAAAAAGGTAGGGGCGGGGGTGTGCTTCGTGTTTATGGACAGTTACACGTATTTCTTCGCAATCATGTGAGATCTCCTCCTGACTGCCTTCTTGAAAGATACGGCACCCTCTACAGCTATTCTTAACCATCTTGTTACAATGATTTATATGACTGTCCCAGTGGTTTTATGCACCCCACATAATTTAGCAAAATTTGATCATTTTTTGCATAATTTCTGATTATTTTCCTTCATCCTTCTTTGTTAAAATTAACAGAATCGCATAATTTCACATTTTTGGGCTCAGTTTGCATTATTTCAGAATTTTTCTTGCATAAAACGACGGGGACAGATATGACCTTAGAGCGTGCATCAGAATAACACTGCGTTACAATCAGATAACTGAGTTTGTATTTAGCTTAACATAATATTATTGTTTATGTTACAGTTTATTTATATTCTGCATGTGACTGTACGCCTGCTGGTGTGTGCATGTGTGTATGTGTGTGTGTGTGTGTGTGTGTGTGTG